CCCCGTGTGTGAAATGATTGAGGATTCTGTTAAAAAGGGATGATTTACTGAAGTAAATGCAGCTGATTGAGTGTAAAATGTAAGATTTCCCACTCCAACATCGCCACTTGCTGGTTGCTTTGATTCATCATTAAACTCATTTTGTGTTGACTTACTGTCCATAGTCTGTTCTCCAACTTCAGGTTCAAACTGCACCACTGCTGTGATCAAGAAACATGACAAGGTGAAAGATGATTTGATTCACGACTTGTCATGAAGGGTCCTGGAGCCAGACCAGTTGAACAAGTGTAAATATAAAAATGGACAATTTTAAGTGTCTGAGAAGCATCTGTCTATAAAGCCTATTTATTCATCTGTTCATGATTGTGTGGATAATATTTCCTCCATCTCCATCTTCTCTGCACTGATCTGTGGCCGGATCATAGAGGCAACAGGTTGAGAAGAGAAACCCACAGACCAGACCAGCGAGGATCTATACGGTAATCCCTTCAAGGAGTTCTAGGTCTGACCCTAGGCCTCCTTCTAGTGGGACATGCCCAGTAAACCTACAAAGGGAGGCATCCTAATCAGATGAACCACCTCAGCTGACTCCTTTTGATGCAGAGGAGCAGCGGTTCTACTCATCAGTCAAGGAAACACACAACAAAACTGATTCTTCCTCCAACAGCTTACTCCAAAGTGGAACAAACCAGTTCTGCTTGTGATAAGATGGTCTCTTTGGTACGCCCCTCCTCCATTGCCGGCCCTCTTCCTTGTTGACAGTCTGGTCAAACTGGTTGAAAACAACAAAGTTCATGCTCAATAATCCTAAGGAGAACCTCAACATCTTCCTTTCTGCTACATCCAGTTCTGTCTCCTGTCTTTTTGTCCATGTCTCTGTCTCCAGACCATACAACGTAGCTGGTCTCACCACTGTCTTGTAAATTTTTCCTTTGTTCTTTGCTGACACCCTGTTGTTTCAAATCACTCCTGAAACTTTTCTCCATCCACTCCATCCTGCCTGGACTCTCTTCTTCACCTCTTCATCACACTCCCCTTTATCCTGGACAGTGGACCCCAAGTCCTTGAAGTCCTGCACCTTTGTGGCCTCTGCTCCTTGTAGCCTCCCTCTCATCTCTTACTCCAGCTGACTCTCATTCCTCTTCTTTCAAGTGCATACCTCCACCTCTCCCAGTTCCCCCAGTCTCACCAGTCGATACACGTCCCTCTCTTCATCCTTAGTGTCCAGCCTCTTGTGCAACTCATCATACACGTTTTGTTTGCGTTTTCTACCTCCCTCTTTGCTCTATGTTGCATCTCTTTATATTCCTGTTAACTCCTATCAGTCATCCCATTTCTTCTTGGCTAACCTCTTCCTCGAGATAACTTCTTACACTTCATTATTCTACCATCAGGTTTCCTTGTCATCAATTCCCTGTCTGGATGACACACCAGTGACTAAAGTGCCCGCTTGTCAAAACACGTGGTACAGCCCTGACGATGTACATCATCACATATGGTGTACTTAATGACGTACGTCGTACGTGACAATGTCACTGCCGTTCAAAACTGAATTGCTTTATGAAGCAAACAGATCGTCAAGATCCATTTCCCTTTAAAGAGGCAAATGTCACATCTACCTTCCTTCTCTGCATCATGTCAGTCAGCTCTCTACCTTTTCCTGTCATTGTCCCCACATTTAGAGCCACCACACTCAGTTCTACGTTCTTGACTTTCCTCTTCTCCCTCTGTCTCCTGACACATTTTCCTCCTCGTGGTCTTCGACTAACAGTAGCACAATTTCCACCAGCACCCTGTTTGTCAACGGTAACATTGGCAAACTTCGTTAACCCAGGTCTCGACTGATCCGGTATGGTGTTGCTTAGATGATATATTATATTGTACTGTATTGTATATTTGTTTTGGCAAACGTGTTTTACATCCGCCCCTCCTGACACAACCCTCACCATTTACCTGGGTTTGGGACCAGCACTAGAGACACACTGGTTTGTGTTCCTCAATGGTTGGTTTAACCTGAACAAACAGACTAACCTTAACCTAATGTTTTGTTTAAGAAGAAAAGCTGTTAAGTGGTTTCAGGTTGAATGACCTGGTTTCATGCACTGTGGTGGAACCACAAACTGATTCAGCCGGTTGTGGGTCGTCCGTTAACAATACAATAACAAAGTCTTATCAATAAAAGGTGGATTTGGGACAAGTCTTCAGATACCTGTGTGGCTTGATGAAGTGATCTGAAGACTGAAGTCCTTTGGGTGTAATTTAACCAATCGAGGTATAAAGTCTCGAAAAACTCTTCATCCTCCTTGGACTTTCTCACATTCTGTCATAACATCCACAAACTTCAAAGTATTGTACTTACTGACATGTAGTGAACCCTGTAACTGTGAAGTGGTTTTAAACAAAAACAAGAAAAACTCTGGAAAGCCTGGTGTGCATTTGAAAAATAATCATGACTATGAAATTATTATATAAACAGAACCTGCATGGTTGAGAAATGACACTGAACTCTGGGAGTTTGAAGGATTTCTATGGAAACAGCTTCATCTAGCGTTCATGAATGAAACAACGTTAATCTGCAACAACAGCTGTTGTTGACCAAGCATTTCAATGTCTTTACACAAACACAGTTAATGTTTGATTACTTTTGGAATATTTTACCACAGAATGTACAATTCAAGAGTGTGGTGATGTCACACTAATGTTTTGTCTGTCTAAACTTTCCAACATGTCTACAAACGTCTTATTTCCACCATCTTCACTTTTCTTCTCCAGTTTTTCCTTCAAACTTCAGTCTTTCTGTCTTCTTCCTCCCAGTGTGTCTCGCTGTTGTAGGACTGGTTTTCTCTCAGAGGTCAGAGGTCACACAGCCAAACTCTCATTGACTTCCATTGAATGATGTGTACTGTATTGTACAAGTCCATCGTATATATGAGTTTTCTAGTTTAACCAGAAAGTGAAGGCTCTCCATAACTTCCATAAAACCCTGTAGAACCATCAAACAGAACATGATGACCAGACCCGTCTAACACGTGCAGCTCAGGAAGTATTTCAACTCGACTGGTTGTCCCAGACGTACTTTCTACTATTTCTCACCATCTCTAAGCTCTCTAAGATGAGAGCTTCAAGTTTTATAAAAGTTTCCAAGGATTTATGTTTGCAGATGACATTGTGATCTGTGGTGAGAACAGGGAACAGGTGGAAGAGAACTCGGAGAGGTGGAGGTATGCACTTGAAAGAAGAGGGAGGAGAGTCAGCTGGAGTAAGACAGAGTCCATGTGTGTGAATGAGAGGGAGGAGGTGGAACAGTGAGGCTACAAGGAGCAGAGGTCACAAAGGTGCAGGACTTCAAGGACTTGGGATCCACTGTCCAGGAAAATGGGGAGTGTGATGAAGAGGTGAAGAAGAGAGTCCAGGCAGGATGGAGTGGATGGAGAAAAGTTTCAGGAGTGGTTTGTGAGAAAAGGGTGTCAGCAAAGAACAAAGGAAAAGTTTACAAGGCAGTGGTGAGACCAGCTACGTTGTATGGTCTGGAGACAGAGACATGGACAAAAAGACAGGAGACAGAACTGGATGTAGCAGAAATGAAGATGTTGAGGTTCTCCTTAGGAGTGACAAGGATGGATAAGTTTAAGAATAAGATCATCAGAGGTACAGCACAGGTTGAACAACTGGGAGATAAAGTTAGAGAGACCAGACTGAGATGGTTTGGACATGTCCAGAGGAGGGACAGTGGTTTGGACATGTCCAGAGGAGGGACAGTGTGTATACTGGTAGAAGGATGTTAGAAATGCAGCTGCCAGGACAAAGACAAAGAGAAGATCTGTGGATGCAGTTATAGAGGACATGGAGGTAGTTGGAGTGAGGACAGAGGACGCAGAGGACAGAAATGGAGGAGGATGACTCGCTGTGGAGACCCTGAAGAGGGAAGAGACAAAAGAAAAAGTTCTGTTGTAGTCTGGCTCCCACAGATCTGATCCACTTGCTGGACCTGCAGTTTCCTATGTAGTATCTAATGTAGCAAATCCACCACATTCTTTTCAGTTGTCAAAATTTGTCACATTCTTCTAAAGTAAAACATTTAGAACTTTAAAAGTGTCATTTGTAAAAAAAAATAAAATAAAATAAAATTACTAAATATAGTTGTGTTGTTCTAATTCATTCTAAACCAACAAGTTCAATATTTAATTGATGTCAAATTGTAAAAATATTGAATGAGCCATCTTTTTTGTTGTTGCTGTGTTTCAGTCAGCAGGGGGCGCCACTGAGGCATCTGAAGATTGAAGAAGTTCAGTGTGAACAGCTGAAAAGCTTCAGAGTTTCAAACGAGGCTTCATTCTTTTAACACTCAGAAAGCTCAGATAAATCAGCTTGGCATACTTTTTATTTGTTTGTTTGTTTTCATGATTTTAAATTTTTGGCTGCTTTGATTTCTCTCTTTTATTTTTGGGTGTGCACACTTTGGCCATGGGTGTTGTTTTGAAGTGTTTCATGATTAAAGTTGTTGATTTCCTGTCAGTCAGGGGAACTGTGTGGAGGCCATGACTGCTCCTCTGACAGGAACCAGGAACAACGTGCACCCCGAGGAGCCGGGCACGTGCAGGAGCTCTGCTGTTTGGAATCAAAGCAAGTGTTTCAGGAGAACATGTGGCAGCAAACTGACAGGTGCAGCTCAGTCACAGTATAGATCAACTGTTTACAGACATTATTTCCATCAGCCACAGCCGAGCAGTTGGTTTTCATCAGACCAGACTGGACTAGTTCCAGTAAAGTTAAACCGTTTACAGAGATTGTCATTATCGGACCGGACCCATGTGTCTGATTTGTTCCTCAGGACTGCTCAGAAGGGAACCATGAAAAAATCAGGATCTTTACAAACTGTTCTTCTCTCTTCTTTGTATCAACATTGAACATTAGTCAACGTTTGTTCGAGACAACCTTTCTCATCATCAGTCAGAAACTACGAAGACACAAATACAACTGAAGGAGTTTAATCTTCTACAGGTTTTACATGAGACTCAAGACCCAACCTCAAAGATCAAGGCTGGACAAATAAATTCAGCTACATCAAACATCACTGTTAAACCAGGCTCAGCGCCATGTCCAGGTCATAGACTGAGCCCGCTCTTCCTCATCATCACACCTTCTTCTGCGGCATGGCGGCAACAAGCAGCTTGTACAGAGAGTAACATGTTCCTGTGGAGAACAAACCCAGCATCCATCAGAACTTTACATCTTGGTATCTGCCACTTCTTTCTGGTTTCAACATCAAATCTGAGGTTTGGTGGTTTTTTTTTTTTTCAACCAAACATAAAATGTGTTTAATGAGAATGCTTCTATCATTTCCCTTTTTGGTCAGGACCATGGTTCTCACCTAAAAGAGTCAGCGTCATGGTTACTCTGTAGAGCAGGACATCTCTGCTTCCACCCTTGATATGGACCGGCAACCCATTGTTCTTCTGTAACCATAGCAACCACATGGTTAAACTTAGCATGCTAACATATTAGCATGGAGCTAGGACATTACATAAAACAGACGAATAAGATTTAACAGTTAGGTCACATTCATGACACACATAAGTGTAATTCTACGACTTTATTCTCATAATTTTATGGTTTTTATTAATTTTTTTCTTACGTGGCAATGTAATAAAAAAAATAAAAAATTTTAGCGTAGCCCTAAAGCTCCGTCGTACATCAGAGACAATGTGGGGGTTATGTGTCTCGTCCAGAGACACTTGGACATGTGACTGCATACTGCTGGAATCAAACCTCCACCTCTCTCATCAACTCTAACCACTGATCCTCCAATCCAACACTCGTTTTTTAAATCTCTGATCTTTCTAAAGATGTGATCCAGTGCCCACCGCCCCCAATAGCTGTGGGGCGGTGGGCAGCTATTGGGGACGCCCAGGAAGCAATCGGGGATAGAGTGTGCTGCTCAGAAACACTACGAGATGTGCAGAGACTGGGGACTGAGGCTGGGACTTTCGGGTCCTGAGTCAGCTGCCCTGCCTCTACTCCATCTCGGCCATCCATCCATCCATTCATCCATCCATCCATCCATCCATTATCTTTTACGCACTTCTTCCTTTTTGGGTCACAGGGGTCACTGGTGCCCATATCCATCAGTCACTGTGTGAGAGGCAAGGGGACACCCTGGACAGGTCTCCAGTCCATCACAGGGACACAAAGAGACAAACGAGACAAATATCCATTCACTCTCTCACTCACACCTAGGGACAATTTAGAGTTACCAATCAGCCTAACATGCATGTTTTTGTTCTGTGGGAGGAAACCGGAGCACCCGGAGAAAACCCACGCATGCACGAAGAGAACATGCAAACTCCACCTAGACAGGTCCTCGGCAGGGATCTGATCCAGCAACCTTCTTGCTGAGATGCAACAGCTCTACCAACTGCTCCTACATTTGTGCTCATATTTTTTTCTCTTTTCTTTTTTTCTGAAACATCTGACAAAAATCCTCAAACATGCAGTTTTTTTTTATTTTTATTTACTTTGTTGTAGCTGTTTTAGTTCACACTGAAAAAACTTTGTGAACGTAGCACATTTTACATGGAAACTTTAGTAATTTTCCACAGATTGAACAAAATGTTTGCATCTACAGGAGAGCGGAGTAATCTACAGAGGAGCGAAGTAATCTACAGGAGTGGAGTAATCGTCAAAGGACAGGGGCGGAGTTATATACAGAGGGGCGGAGTAATATACAGAAGGGCAGCGTAATCTACAGTAGACAAGGGCGGAGTTATTTACCGAGGAGTGGAGTAAATTTCAGAAGACGGGCAGAGTTATATGAGGGGCAGAGTCACATACAGAGAGGCAATGTAAACTACAGAGGATGGGCGGAGTTGTATACAGAGGGGTGGAGTAATATACAAACGGGCAGAATAATCTACAGAGGACGGAGCGAAGTTATATACAGAAAGGCGGAATTAAAAGGACACCATAATCTACAGAGGACAGGGGCGGAGATATATACAAGGGGTGGAGTAATAAGGACAGAGTAATCTACAGAGGACAGGGCGGCATTATATACAGATATACAGAAAGGCGGAGTTATAAGGACACCATAATCTACAGAGGACAGGGGCAGAGATATATACAGAGGGGTGGAATTATAAGGACAGTATAATCTACAGAGGACAGGGTGGAGTTATATGAGGGGCGGAGTATTAAGGGCAGTAATCTGCATAAGACAGGGGCGGAGTTATATACAAGGGGTGGAGTTATGTTCAGAGGGGCAGAGTAAACTATGAGAGAAGGAATGAATCAATGGGTTGCGGAATAATCTACAGAGGATAAAGTAATCTACAGTGGACAGAGTAATAGGAGGTGTAATCTACGGGGTGTGGGAGTAATCTACAGGGAGTAGGAGTAATTTATGGGGGAAATGATAAATCTACAGCAGGTGGAGTAATCTACAAGTAATCAACCACACTCAACACAAATCTGACTCTGATGCTGAAGTAGATCGTTTGAAGTAACTCGAGGTTAGAGGAGGAAGTGTTCACTGTCATGTGGACATGCCAGTGAAACCAGTCTGACCTGGAAGAGTTTCTGGATCTCAGGAACTTTGTTCTTTAGCTGTCTGGAGGAGCTGCCGAAGGCTCGGCTGGCCAGAAGAGGAAATGTCTGGAAGAAAAAAACGAACAAAAGTTTTTTCAAGAGTTTTTCAGTGTTTTTTCCTCGTGAACATTTTTGCTGTTATTTTTGTTGTTTGAGTTTTGGTTCTGCATTTTAGGTTCACTGCTTCCACCAAACATGATACTCTAGATTTTTTTAATCTGGTGAAGTAAAAAAACCCAAAACATTGGTGCTTCTCTTTTCACACACCTGCACGAGTCTGACGAGTCAAAGGTTCAGCCGTTCAGTCAACAAACAGAGCAGGAAGTAAAACTCAGACTGGTGTCAGTTCCACGCAAAGTGGAAATGTGCTTCAAGGGTTTGGAGATGTTTTGTCATCACTGAATAAAATGTGACATGATGATCCAGAGATTTATTTATTTCTGTAACATTCACACTTCAGAACCAGTTTTCTTCTTCCAAGGTTTTAAAAACTGACCCCAATAATGGATCTTTGGAGAGTGGTGGTGCAGAGGTTAGAGAAGCTGGGCCTGTGATCGGGAAAAAAAAATCCTAAACAATTCCAATAAAATTTTACCTGAAATGTTTTGTTTACCACTGAGTCAGAAGCTTTATCTTTAAGAGGTCATACAACAGTTGTTTAGATAAATGTTTTCGTCCAACTTGATTTGTAACTTTAGAACTGTCCAGAACCCTAAAGTTAAAGTAAGCACGACTAAATCTAATCTCATTTAATGTTTCACTCATGTGATCGTTTGTACTCCAGTATAAACCTAACTGGGTCCAATGATCCACACAGCAGCTAATCTACAACAGAACGGGTCAGAACGAACAGAATCAAGGTGCTGCAGTGGTCTAGTCAGAGTCCAGAACCTCAACCTGGTGGGACCTTCAAAGAGCTGAGCTGAAACCTCAATGAACTGAGGCAACGATGGGGAGAAGAGTGGGCCGACACTCCTCCACAACCACGACAGATTGATAAAGTCCTCCAGAACACTTCTGCTGGGCAGAGGTTCTGCTGGGTCAGGTGATGGGCCTGGAACCAGTTTTTCCACAAACTCATTCTGGACTTTGGTTTTAAGGTGCACCTGATGAAGTCGAGATGATTTGTTTCGTCCCAATAACAAAACTTTTAATCTTATCGTTCAACATTCATTTATGCAGGTTAATCCCACTGAGCCCCGGGGACTCATTTACAAGAGAGACCTGAAACTAGAAGATGATGTCATTTTATTATAACTTTAAATATTTAAATTTCATTTTTTACTCTTCTCTTCCTGGAAGTTACTGACAAAGATCAGAGGTAAACTGAAGCAGTGAGTCGGCTGGGTCGAACAGCTGCAGGCCCGGTTCGGTTTACACCAAGGTCAGGTGGGAAGCTGGGGGCGGGGCTCTGACAGCCACTCACTTCCTGCCAACAGGAAACTGACCACTGAGGAGGCAGAGACTGGTTGACTGTCAGTTATGGAGGACTGAACCATGTGGGCTCAGTAATCTGAGAGGATTTTATCTATTTACAAGCTGCCAGAGATCCTGAACCCAGTTCTAACTGAACTATCAGAGCCGTTCTGCAGCAGAATAAAAACTAATTCATGGTTCTCAACATCACCAGAGAACAGAGTCATGTTCTGATGTCAGAAACACAAATCTGCTTTTTTTTTTTTGCCTACCTAAATCTAATTTTTTTCTGACCTGAAAACTTTAGTGACTCAAACTATGATCTAAGTTTATTTTCCTCTTAACTCTTTAAATTGTTTATTTCAGTCATGAATAACTATTACATCTCATTGTTTAAGCCTTTGTTTAGTTCATCAACTTCATATTTTAATTTAAGTATGTTTATTTAATTTTTAATGCTGCCACACACTCCAAACAAGTTGGGACAGAGAGATGGTGCTCTATTCTGGGTTAAATGTTTGGCTCTATGCAATGCTCTATATGTTGCTATATATTGAGTTAAATATTTGGCTCTGTGCAATGCTCTATATAGTGCTCTATGTAGGGTTAAATGTATGGTTTTATGCAATGCTCTATATAGTGTTCTATGTAGGGTTAAATGTATGGTTTTATGCAATGCTTTATACAGTGCTCTATGTAGGGTTAAATGTATGGTTTTGTGCAATGCTCTATATAGTGCTATATGCTGGGTTAAATGTTTGGCTCTATGCAATGCTCTATATATTGCTCTATGTTGAGTTAAATATTTGGCTCTGTGCGATGCTCTATATAGTGCTCTATGTAGGGTTAAATGTATGGTTTTAAGCAACGCTCTATATAGTGCTCTATGTAAGGTTAAATGTATGGTTTTATGCTCTATATAGTGCTCTATGTAGGATTAAATGCATGGTTTTATGCTCTATATAGTGCTCTATGTTGAGTTAAAAGTTTGGCTCTATGCAATGCTCTTTAAAGTACTCTATGTGATACATGTTAAGCTCTTTGTGGTGCCACTTGTGACTTCACGTGTTGAGCTGTAAGAGGTGCTATATGTAACACTCTAATTGTTGATATATTTTTAGCTCATTGTCACTACATGTGACCATTCTGTGTGGTGCTGTGTTTTGCTTTATGTATGTATATTTGCATTCATGTGTTGTTTTTTGTGGCACTGGATGTGTCACTGTAAAAGCAGACTGTTTGTGGCTGATAAAGCTCTATGTGCTATAGGTTGAACTCTTTGTGGTGCTTTATGTGTTCATAGCACTGGACTTAGCACTTTGTGTGGCACTGTAAAAGGGACTTTGTGTGTCACTCTATATGGCACTCTATGTGCTCTAGGTTAAGCTCTTTGTAGCACTTTATGTGTTTTATTGTGGCACCAGTGCATCACTGGATTTAGCACTCTGTGTGACACTGTAAAAGGGACTATGTGTGGTGCTCTATATAAGCTGAGCTCTATGTGGAGCTAGCTGTGGTGCTCTATATGGCACTCTATATAAAAATACACCAGACAGGGAATATTGTGGGGAGCATGCACTTAAAGTTCACACGCTGAGTACACAGCATAAACGCACGAGGAAATATAGAAGCTTCCAAGGGTCAAAGGTCAAATTAGAGGTAGAACTACAAAATCTTTGATTTAAAAAAGATGATGTTTTGATGGTCCGCACGAAAACACAAGAGTGTTGCTATTCTTATTATGAATTATTTTCACTCTGGAAACTGTTAAAACAAAAGTTATTAGACTCCTAAAATACAACTTCCATGTGGACACAAGGCTGAAAGGATAAAACAATTTTACATATTCAGGAGAAAAGAACTCTCTGTGGGTGAGGTCAAAATATCACCTGAAAGTGACTTTAACAGTCTCTTAGTCCAATCAAATCTGAGACATGTCACTGAAAGAAAACTCACGGAGGAAGATTTTTGGTGCAACACAGTTTTGACATGCTGCTGCACAATCAGGTTGACAGGTGTCTACAGGTGTCCAACGGGTGTCATCAAGTGCAAACAGTTGTCCAGCAGGTGCCAATGGGTGTCCATTGGTTGTTAACAGGTGTCAAGAAGCGCCAACAGGTTTCCAACAGGTGTCAATAGGAGTTCAACAAGTGCCAACAGGTGTCCAACAAGTGTTAACAGGTGTCCAACAGATGTCAACAGTTGTC